AAACATCAATTATGGAGCTGGGGTTTAGTGCTTGAGTTATCCGCCAGCAAAAGTCGCTCCTCCTAGCTGTGGCTGGCTGTCTGCCTCGCGCAGTGTGGCTGACAGCGTTTCTTGAACACAGAATTCAACCTGAAGGTGATGATCCGGGTGCCCGGCGGCTTTGCATGTCTCATATTCTTTAATCAAGTACATCTGTATGTGATGAACTTGAGGTTCCCATGCTCACATGGCACGTTGAGGCACAGGACGGAACAGAGGGCTCACCTCCTGACTTGGACATCACTGGGAATACCTCTTATGTTCTTGAATAGCTGTGCTTGCTTGGATCTGTAACCTTCGCTGTTCGCTACACTTTGATGCTTCCCTGCTTCTGACAGACTGTATGCTAAAATCAAACTAGTAGCCAAAGCTAGGAAAAAAATAAATAAATAAAAACAAGCTGTCCCCTTGGTTTCCCCTGCTTGTCATTCAGCGTTCTGTGCACGGAAGGCAAGGGCCGATTTTGTTTGTTCACACAGTATGTTTGGAATTTTCTCCCCCATACAGGCAAATAGTAACACAGACTGTAGCATAAAGAACAAAAAGAGAATGTTTTCAGCTCTGTAATGCACTGCTATTATTCCCCTCCTAATTCTAGCTATTTTGTGGGTCATTAATGTTTTATGGAAATAGAATAAATTTGGGAGGTTAGACTTTTAGATTTTAGATCTGTGTGAAGGAAACGGAGCTGGGATGGTTTACTGTATAGAAGCATATATTCGGGGCATTGGTTGATGACTAAGTGCAAGTTATTGAATAATCTCAAATGGGATAAATACATTCCACGGTGTTTAAATTTGAATCAGAGATCTGCGGTTCTCACATACAAAACAGCGATAAGTTGAAGGACAAAGTGGCAGTGACAGTGTCTGCTGGCAGAGGCTGGCTTCTGCCTTCCACAGGTTCCTGTGTGACTGAACTCTGTCCTCTGAGAACGTGTCCTTTTATTACCTGTGTGATGTCCCTTTGACACTTTAAACGAAGCAGAGACAGCGTTTCATTACCCAGACTTAGGGGACACACAAGAAAAGCCTTCTCTAATTCTTTCACTTTTCCCTGGAAGCCCACCGGTAAGACCGACGGTTCTCATTTTGTCCTCTTTTCTTTCGGCTCAAATGAGCATCAGCCAGTCTCTAATTTCAGCAAATTAAATGGAAGATTAAATTAAATGCAGATGCATTCATCAGTGTTTTCCCATCGTGGTTGGACTGAGCCGCCAGCACGTGGGGGTCAGTGAGCATGGATAAGCACTGTCCATCCAACTTCAGAAAAATCGGATTCCAAACTCAAAAATACAAACGTAACTTTAAGAACTGTAGCAGGAACTGAGCAGGCTCTCGATTCCTGTTACATTATTTACACTCCCTACTTGGTGTTATTTAAAGATCAAGTTCAAATAACATCTCATTGTAGTTCCACATATGACCTACATGTGTTCTGGGTTTCACCTTCACAATGCCCATGAACCTGAGCTCACAGTTCAGTTGTTTGTGCTTCTGTCTGTAACTGAACAGAGAAGGTTACTCTGCAAGCTTGCTTGTATGAACGAGTGTTCCTGATTGTGCACACACACATGTGTAGAAACACATACACACACCTTTTACTGGATAAGAAGAAGATTTGCTTAATTCAGAAGACAAGCAATAGCATGTTTAAGTGCATCCCTCTGATAAATGGCATTCCACTTAATTCTGTCTGGGTCCTTCACACCCTGCTAATGGCCTTTCTTCCTTTGCCTGCTCTCCAATGTCTTGGGGTCCCAGGGGGTAAATAATTCATGGGCATTGTTAGTGTGTGCCGGGAAGCAAGATTGTCTTGTTTGTATGTGTAACCACCTACACACCATGCCTTCCCCTGACTCCTCTTCACAAAACATGCAGACAGTCACACACATATCCCACATATGCATGCATGATGATCTCCACCCAGACACAGCACTTCTGTGCGCTACTCCAGGGAGAGTGTGAGTGTGTGTGACCACACACTGGACCTGCATTTTCAGCACGATTGCCTGAAGTCCTGGCTTAGCAAGGGCTAGATGAGCCACTGTGGTATTAAAGACCTTAGCCTTAGAGGTGGTGCAGCTTCTTTATTCTACAGGGCAGGGTCACACTGCAGGGTTGGTGAGGTCCACACACAGCCGCATAAACAGCCTGTGTATATTTGGCTAAGATTCAGTGTTGCTGTAGTGTTTTAGGTTAAAATGTCTGTAATGTGAAATGCACAGGTCTTAGATGGACTGTTGGTAAATTTCTACAAGTCCAACAGCTGTATAATAATAGTGCAGCTGGGCACAGAACTGTCAGCCCCATGTTCTCTTGCCCTTGGCTGGTAAACATGACTGCATGCTGCAACCCCAGGAATGACCCCTGTGGTCATGTTTAAAGCACGATTAGGGCAGCATATAAATGAAATTGTTTTTGTACTTTTCTTTCACTCATCATTAGGTCTCAGGAGTCAATGCACGGATCAGTAGTCATTTGTTTTTTATTGAGGAGTAGTTACTGAACCACAGTCTGTTTATCCGTCCTCCTATTCATGGGCAGTTGGGCCCCAAAGTTGAGAACTATGACAAGTAAAGTTGGGGCTGGTGTTGGGGCTGGTAAAGTCACCACCTGCAGCACCTGTATCCCGTACGGCAGTCTTTGATTGCTGGCTGTTCCACTTCCGCCCCATCTCCCTGCAAAGGCTAGGAAGGCAGCAGAGGATGGCCCAAGAGTTTGGTTGGGCCCTTGTACCCATGTATGAGACCAGAAAAGGCTCTTGGCTCCTGGCTTCAGTCTGGCCCAGCTCCATCCTTTGCAGCCACTTGGGGAATGAACCAGTGGTGGAAGGTATATTTTGATGGGCAGGTAGCAGTGAGGCATGCTGTAACAATTTTTCCTTTCACGGCCCTCGTTTCCCAAATCCCATCTAGCAAAACCTTTTTGCTCACTCTCAAGCATATCAGTGTTTCCTATGTGTTTTTCTAGCTTTCTGGTTTTAGCACTTACCTTTGATCGGGACCATGGTCTGTCTCAGGTTCATGTTTGTGTGCGATGAGAAGTAAGGACAGAAGTTTCTGTCTGTTAAGCAAAACCCACACTTACTCCAGCACCATTGGTTGAAAAGATGTTGCCCTTCCCAGTGCGGGGCTAGGGCACTCTTGTCAAACTCAGCTAAATGCGCAAGCGCGAGTCTCTGAGTCTGTTCTGTTGGTTGGAGCTGTGTGTCTGTGTCAGTCCCACACTGTTTTGATTGCTGTAACTTTATGGAAATTCTTGAAATCGGAGAGTGCACATTCTCCCACCCTCCTCCTTTTCAGTACTGCTTTAGTTATTCTGCATAAGATTTCCATACAAAATCAGAATCAAATTGCCAATTCCTACACCCCCCTCAAATGTAACAGGATTATGGTAGGGATTAGAGTGGGTAAAATGAGGAGAATTGGCGGCTCAGCAGTATTGATTCCACTCATGACTGAGCACTGGATGTCTGTCCATTTATTTTAGATCTTGCTTGACACTTGTACACTTGATTCTGCTCTTCTTTTGGTAAACGGATGTGTCAGCAAGTGATTCTTATGCTTTTGTAAATGAATGGCTTCTTATTTTTTTCCCCAAATGTTAGCTGCTATTATGCAATACTTTGTGGTATGAGTATTTGGAAACCACCTCACTAGTTTTTGCATTTTAAAAAAATCTGCAGCCTGTTTCATTTAGCCCCTTAGAGAGCCAGCAAAGAGATGAAGTGGGTCCCGCCCTCTGCTACAGAGCCAAAAAATCAAGCTTCAGTCCCAGTTGGCCACCGATGGCTGCGTGACCATGGCTGAGAACGGCAGCAATCGCAACCTGGTGTTGCTGCGGTTCAACACCATCAGAACTTACCTCCTCTTCAATTGCAGCCTTTTCACTAATATCTATGCTTGCCACTCTGAATTGTCAACCTTTTTGGAAATCTGGAGGCCTTGAATTTTCTCCCTAGAAAAATACACAAGAGTTTTATATGCAGTTTAGAATACTCAGGGAACCTGGCTGTTTGCCACCCAACACACACCTGACCATAAATCCCTGTTCTGGAATGGGATTCTGATGGAGGAGGGCCAGCTACCTTTCTCTCTGCCTCCAGCACCCGGCACGGGGTGGGGCCCCTGCAGCTGCCCAGTACATGGCTTGTGCCTTCATTCACAAGCCTGGCACTGCTGTACTGCGGCCTCCTGCAAGTCTGGCTTGTCCTCCTAAGGTGGTCTGTTCATCTGGAGCTGCCCCCAACTGCCCCCCACAGAACAGGTATGCATCCCCAGCAGGGTTGCTGTATGGATAAGCTGGAGGTGTCTTTGGAACCCTGGTCAGTCACACCTGAGGTGCACATGCATCCCAAGGCCTGGGGACTCAGCATGTCCAGGAGCATCACATGATGTGTTTGTGTGGGAGTGGTGGGGAGTCGGGGCTGCCAATTCAAAATCTGGCCTACTTGGGGCTGTCTAGACAGGGTCAAAGACTGGCATCCCCCCTCAAAACAGATATTTCGGCTACCTCTAGATGCCCTAACTCCCTGAGGGACCCAGCAGACAGACACACTGGCTGGAATCCTTAGCCTCCATGCCTAACTCTCTGCTTCCTGCGTACCCTGCTTCTGCAGGTTGTGCAGTCAAGGAGTATCTTTCGCCCTTCATCCATGACACCAGGCAGCTACCTTTGGGTTCTGCAAAGGTTCAGGGCAACAGTGGCCTTGCAGGGTCATCCAGGCTGCCCTTGGCTGCCTGGAGACTTTGCAGAAAGCCCAGCTTCACCACCTGCCCCTTCCAAAGAGCTGCAGGTGTCATGATGGGAGCTTGGGGACAGCAGCACATTGCGGCCATCTGCTTCTCTTCCTGCCCCCTAGAATTAGGTTCCAGATGGCACAGCCCTCTGCTGTCCTCTCCCAAGAACATACATGTGACAATGATGCCACGTATGATGATGATGCTTTCTCTCATATAGGTGCCAGAGTCATGGGCAGCAAGCCGTCCACCCCGGGCAGTGACTGCACAGCGCAGGCCCTCAGGACAGAGGACATCCATGCTGCCTACAGACGAGGAGACTCTGGCAGGGCCCGGGACCTGCTCCGAGAAGCTTGTGAGGAAAGCACATCCCAGTTGGACAAGGTAGGAGAACCAGGCCACCCGTACTTGCCAGGGGTCACAGTCCTGGTGTCTTTGTCATGAACAACCTCGTTTCTGACCTTGCCACCTGTCACTTCAGGCCAGTGAGGGATAGATGAGAGGTTGTGGAAATGTCAGGACCAAAATGCATATCATACACTCCAAAGACAAGCTTTAGAAGGACAGTAAAGTAGTAAAAGAGTCAGGAAGAAACCCTGTTGCTAACGCACCCTGGCAACTGCTCGAGGCCTTGGGTATCTTTTGCCCAACCTGCTAACCTGAATGTTGCTGTTGCGTTTCATCTAGAAAGCCTTGTATACATTACTTATTGCCACCTAGGGTTGTACTTAGATGTTCTTGTGGAAGTATACGTGTTTATAGTATCACACCTTCAGCAGCCAGGTGACATTCCTTCTGATAAAGGACCTCTGGACCAGGGAAACCGAGGCTGTAATCTCATTTTGGGGGGACAGTTGGGACTGACTCAGCATGGCCCCCCTCGAGAGGGAGAGACCAGCACACCTGCTGTCTTGATTTCCCGCAAGCCTCCCAGCCCACAGATGATGATGCCCACACCCAGGCCAAGTCTTCCCATGTGATCTGCTAGACTCGCACGCTAATCTAGTTTGCAAACCTTCGCACAGACATGCTCCAAATGATGCTTTTCCTGAGTTTCTCCTAATCGGCTCAAGTGGAAGTCATACACTTGACCATCATGCCAGCTTTTCCTTTTAATTGGTACTAGATTGTTTCTGATGTCTGTAGTGGACCTTTTTTTTTTTTTTAATGTATAGGTTCAGTTCTAGAATGGAAGAGACCAAGGAAAGAAGGGCTCATTTTAAGTGTAAACCAGTAGAAATTGCTCAATCTAGACAAAAATAACAAAAAGTCAAAAGGGGATAGACTTAAATGAACAGCTGATGGGGTCAGGAGAATGTTAACTGAAGATCTAACGTTGGTTATTACAGTTCCAGAAGAAGAGCAGAAAGTAGTCAGGACTGATAGATGACTCAAAGACACAGGTCCTAAAACCTCCCCCAACAACGAAAGAAGCTGAGTGAACCCAAACGAGAATAAAGCCGTGAAAGCCACCCTAAAGGAGACATAGGAAAACAGCCCAGAGACACGCGCAATGCGTTTAAGGCAACAACAAATGAACCCACAGTGAGTTCCTCATTAGAAACCTTGGAGACCAGAAGGAAGTGGCTCATGTGTTTCAGGTCCTCAAACAAAAAGTCAACACAGAACTCCATATCCAGAGAAAAATACCTTTCTAGAATAAAGTCTGGGAAAAAACAAAAGGCTTTCCAGGGTGTCGTGAAACCCAGAGTCCTTCCCGGAGGAGCTGTCCCAAAGGAATAGCTAAAGGGTACTGAAGAGGGTACCCTGGGACACCGGAAAGAAGCAGAACATGGCAGTGGCAAAAACTGAGTAGTTAAATTAGACGTTCACTCCCATATTTGTCTTTAGATTGATTGACAAGGCAAAAATTATAATGTTGTTTTATGTGGCTCTTAATAAGTAGAGATGAAATGTCTTAGACAAAAAATAAAATGGGAAAAAATAAAATGATGCAGAAAATGTTGAAAGTAGGAGATTTTGGTAAATCATGTAAATGTAATAATGATACCCAGAGCAACCACTTAAAAAAAAAGAAAACATAAAAAGAGACATACTGAAAAACCATAAAACAGTCAAAATGGAACTAAAAAAATGTTCAGCTAACTCATGGAAGGCAGGGAAATGGAAACGGAGAAATGGAAAAAACCAAGCAGAAGCAAAGAAATAACAAAGCAGACCCAAGGTGTAAACAATTATATTAAGTTTAAACGGTTTAAATACATGAACTTAGAATCTGGCAGAAGAGTTTTAAAAGCACATAAGCCGTAGCTGGTCCCTGTCCTCATCCCTACCAGTGACCATGCCTTGAAAATTTGAGAAAATCAAGGAATTTCGCTCATAGACAGGCAAGTCTGTCAAATGAAGAGAAGAGGGATCACATGAGGTTAAAGTTGGGGCGGCAGATGCCTTTAGTGTTGGTCGCCACAGACACGGAACAGGCAGAGAAACAGAAGCAGCCTCTGACCCTAGGTTGGGCAGGAAAGGGGTAGAAATGAGTGAGATTTAGGGCCCAGCACGATAGCATAGTGGTTAAGGTCCTCGCCTTGAGCGTGCCAGGATCCCATATGGGTGCCAGTTCTAATCCCGGCAACTCCACTTCCCATCCAGCTCCTTGCTTGTGGCCTGGGAATGCAGTCAAGGATGGCCCAAACAGCTTTGGGACTCTGCACCTTGTGGGAGACCCGGAGGATGCTCCTGGCTTCGGATTGGCTCAGCTCCATCTGTTACGGCCGCTTGGGGAGTGAACCATAGGATGGAAGATCTTCCTCTCTGTCTCTCTTCCTCTCTGTATATCCGCCTTTCCAATAAAAATAAATAAATATTTTTAAAAGAAAAATGAGTGAGATTTGGGCCCAGTGGGATGCCTCAGTGGCTAAATCCTCACCTTGAAACCGCTGGGATCCCATATGGATGTCACCTTGTGTCCCAACTGCTCCATTTCCCATCCAGATCCCTTGTGGCCTGGAAAGCAGTAGAAGATGATCCAAAGCCTTGGGACCCTGCACCCACGTGGGAGACCTGGAAGAAGTTCCTGGCTCCTGGCTTAGGATCAGCTCAGCTCCAGCCATTGTAGTCACTTGGGTGTGAATCAGCAAATGCAAGAACTTTCTCTCTGTCTCTGCTTCCCTCTGTAAATCTTCCTTTCCAATAGAAATTTTAAAAAATTAAAATTTTTAAAAAAGTGATATTCACTAGCTTAAACTTTATTACATACTGTATATGATACAAATTATGTATGTTGGTTGGAAGTAAGAAGCAAGCAAATACATGTATACATATGTGTATATATATATATATATATATATATATATATATATCATGCAAACATTAGGTAGACTATAAAGCAAAGGAAGCAGGCAGACAGGGTTTTATAAAATAACAGAGGAGCCAGTCCACCAAGAAGACACAGCAATCATAAATGTGTATGCACCAGATGACAGAGCCGCAAAATTAGTGCAGTAAACCCTGCTGTGAAAGAAAGCATGGACGGACAGATCTGTCACTTCAGCTGCAGACTTTGAAGAACATTGAAAGTATGTCATTGCCAAAAAAAAAAAAAAAAGAAGAAGAAGAAAGAAAAATCCAAGGTTAGGAGGAGGAGAAAAGGTGGGAAGCAGGGCATGGCAAGAAGTTATGCTGCAAAAACTTTATATGAGGTAGTAAAAATTGTTCCCTCCTATGGATAGGTTTTTTAAAAGAAAAATTGCAACTGACAGAAGAGCTAAGCAGTAGATCAGCAAGGATACGAAGGAGCTCAACAGGACCCTCGTGGCATTTAAGGGACTCTCTCTCCATCACCAGATGCCAGAGCAGGATAAGCCAGACCTGGGTCGTGGCACAAACCTTAATACATCTAAAATAACTGCAATCCTGCAGGACACGTTCTCCTTCATCCATGGAACCAAGCTGGAAATCCACTAAGAGAGAGGGGAAATTCCCCAGCACTTGGAATTGAACCCTATTCTTTCAAGTAATCCATGGTTCAAAGAGAAAACCTCAGTGGAACTTGGAATGGAACGAAAATGAAAATACGAAACATCAAGATTTGGGAGATGCAAGGAAGCCATGCTGAGCGGTCCATTTGTAAGACTAAGTGCTTAGATTAGTAACGAGTAAAAGGGCTGGACGTTTGGCTCAGTGGTTGAGTTATGACTTAAGAAACCCACATCCCCTGTCAGAGTGCCTCCACTTCTAATCCAGCTTCTTGTGGAGTTCATCCAAGGAGGCAGAAGTTGGCGTCTTCAGCCACCAGCGTGAGAGACCACATGGAGATTCTGGCTCCTGAGTGCTTCCTTGAACTCTGCCCTGGCTGTGGCAGGCTGCACCGCAGATGCACAGAGACCCTCTGAGTCTCTGCCTTTTGAATAAAATGAAAATAAATATGGAGGTGAAGAAAGAAAAGATGTAAGTCCCGAATCAGTGAACTACTACCTAAAGACAATAGAAAATAAACAAATCTAAAGCCAGCTGAGGAAACACTAAACATAAGTAGAAATTTAATGAAATCTAGAGGGAAAACAATGAAGAAAAGCAATTAAGCAAAAGTTGGCTCTTTGGAAAAATCAGTAGACTTGACAAGCATCAAGCAAAAAGAATGAAGAGAAGAGAGGAGAATCACCAACATCAGGAAGAAAACAGAATGTTAGCATGCAGTGCACAGGGGGCAGCAGGCTCAACTCCACAGGCTTGAGTTTGACAGCTGATGAAATGGGCCAGACCCTGAAGAATTAAAACCACGACAGCCTTGTGGTATGAAATGAGCAGCTTGAAAATCCCTGCAATAATTAAGGGATTCTTCTCTTTGTCTTTGAAAACCCCCAAGAAGATCTGCAGACTCAGATGGTTCACTGGTGGATTCCCCCCTATGGTCAAAGAAAGAATTAACACCACTTCTACACAATCTCTTCCAGAAAATGCAAGAGGGGAAAATACTTCTCCAACATTCCTGGGAAACCAGGTCAACCCTCATACAAGACTCAGACAGAAATGAATCAAACAACAAAAAGAGACAAGGACCAAACAGCCATGGTCCAATAAGAACAGATAGAAAACTCCAACAATCGTGTGTAAAGCCAATCACATGTTAAGTAACCAGTGTGATCCCCAGAGGAACAAACTAAAGAAAAACGCTCCATCACATCAAGCGATGCACGGAAAGCATTGGAAATTTAAGTGCTTTTTCATGACTTTAGGGAAAGAACCCCTCAAGGAATCCTCTGGACCAAGAAACCCCACAAAGGGTACAAAGCCTGACAGTTTATGTCACCCTGGACGGTGGGCTTGGTGCACTGACCCTGAGACTGGGTTCATGTTGGTTCTTGGAGCTGGCGGCTGAAGACCAAGGTCAAACAGCTGCATCTGTCCAGGGCTGCACTTGTCAT